AACCCCCCGCCGCCGCCGCCGCCCAGGACGCGCTCAGCCCGGAGCCGGCGCCCACGCCGGAGCTGCCCGAAGAGTACGCGTACCCGGACTACCGCGGGAAGGGCTGCGTGGACGAGAGCGGCTTCGTGTACGCGATCGGGGAGAAGTTCGCGCCGGGCCCCTCGGCCTGCCCGTGCCTGTGCACCGAGGAGGGGCCTCTGTGCGCGCAGCCCGAGTGCCCGCGGCTGCACCCGCGCTGCATCCACGTCGACACCAGCCAGTGCTGCCCGCAGTGCAAGGAGCGGAAGAAGTACTGCGAGTTCCGGGGCCAGACCTACCAGACTTTGGAGGAGTTTGTGGTAAGACGCCCCCTCCCTGGGCCACTTGGCGGCCTCTAGGGCTGTGACCCCCCGCTGTGTGCAGCAGGGATGCCCGCGGTCCCCGGGGGTGGGGCGCACGGTGCTCCCGCCAGGCGCGACCTCTCTCGAGTGTAGAGGCGATCCAGCCTTCGGAGCCCGCGGTGGCCGTGCCCGAGATGCCTTCCCTGCGTTCGCTGGAAGAGGGTTTCCTTAGCAGGAAGCCCGCGGCGCTGGAGGGAACGGCCGCAGCAGTCATTGGCTGTACTTTTAAACGTGCCTTCATGGGTCCTGATTCAGAAGTGGTGCTGGTGAAATGTTCACCCTGTTTTCAAGCACACGGTAATTTACCAGCCACCTGGGATACATTCTTCAGCTAATAGCTAATTAAGGGAGACCGTTCATGGAGAGAAGCCGTCTCCTTCCAGTCAGTGTTCAGAGTGTCATGCAAAGGCCCTAAAAACTAAGAGGAGAAGACATTAGCGCATGAGGTGCGAAATCCCAGTGGATGGCAGAACCAAGAAGCCCCGTTTAGGGTGAAAAGCGGTTTCACATCAGAAGAGTAGTAACAGATTCATGGCCCTGGTCGTTTCCCTAATCCTTGTTTCAGTCTTGGCTGTGTTTTTTTCTGCATGCATTGGTTTAGTTCAACTCACGCTGTGCTAGAAGGCAGATGATTGTCATCTCCACCTCACGGAGAAGAGGAAAGTGAGACACAGAGCATTTAAATCATTTGCTGAAGGCAGTGAAGCTGCTAGGAAGCAGAGTCTTGTGTCGTGCTAAGCATTCTCCCTAGCCTGTGTTTTAACCCTTACACTCCCCTGGAACCAAAAGCCCGGCCACCGGGGATGCTCTGCCCTGCACGCATGCGCTGCTCCTGGGTAAACTCCGGGCCTCGGGCCTCGGGGAGGGCACTGTTCCGCGTGCACGGCTCAGTGGCCTGGGATGCACTCCGGCCTGCTTGGACCTGCCTTTTGCTTTAGCATGCCAGAGATTTTTTTTTCCGCCTGCAGAGGGCGTCCTGAAACCTTCAACTCTTAAAGCAGAGCTTAGAAGGCGAGCCCTTTAGGAATCACCCCTGAGATGGGAGGACCCCAGGACCCAGGATGTGAAGGTCACATGAATGAGTTGGAGCAATGAATTAGCCAGTGTTACAGCTATAGAAGCCGGCAAGGACAGAGAACGCGCAGAATGTGTGAAGAGCGCCGGGGTTTGGTCAGGAAACATGAGTTTCTATTCCTCTCTGGCCGCTACCCAGAAAGCACATGCCCCTCTGGCTTTCTTTTCTCTCCCCCCATAGAAGAGAAGGGACCAGCTCTCCCTCGGGCCCACAGGCAGGGAGGAGCTCCGGACATGCCTTATTTTATGACAGTCATTGCTTCAGCTCTCAGGAGAAAGACAGCTTTGGTGAGACTCATGTGAACCAGGCCCCAAATCAGATCCAACATAAGCAACTGAGTTTTAACTGGTAACATTTGGCGCCTGCACTGTTTACAGAGTCCCATAGTCCTTTTCAGGATGGTCCCATGAACCAGCTGAGGAATTATTATCACCTTGGTTTTGGGACCCCAAACAATTCTAGGTGTCACTCGCCATCTAGGGGATCCCAGGTAGAGGGAAGAATTCAGACTTCTGATTTTGTAACTCATGGCCAAGCACTAGATTAAGCCTTGCAGCAGCTTTTCCCTGTGGGTCACCTGACACCTGTTCATCAACAGATATAGCAAGTGTTTCCAAGCCCGGGGGAGGAGAGATGACGGTGATAACGATCTGGTCTTAGCATCCCATCTTCCCCAACCAGTAGAGCTGTTGCAGAGCATTCAGGTGACGTTTCACCCTTCGCTTTCCTGCACGCATGTGAACGTTGCAAACCTTGCTTTCTACTTCTTCCTCACTTGCCTTCCTGTGTAATACCTCAGCTGCATAGAGCTTGTCCTGTGTGGTAGCGTGTTTGTCCTTGCAGTTAGTGCCAGGCACATACCCAGGCATTTCTCCGGTTTGCCTGCAGCTTTGTGCAAGCCCTGTGGGGTCTCTGTTTTTGTTTCTGCGGTGCACAAAAGTTGTGCCAACACTGTGGCAGGGTGTGGAGAGGAGGGCAGCTGGCGGGTGTGGGGTCAGTTGTGTGTGTGAAATGTGTGGGGGCCGCGGTGTCCATTGTGATGCTGAGCTGGCACCCCAGCCACTGTTGGCATGCCCTGCCTGGGTCCTCTGCGCTTCAGAGAGAGGTACACCGCAGTCGGTAGTTGGCATAGCACAAAGCAGATGGGAGAAGAAAAAGAGAAACATTTGCCATCTGAAGTGTTGTGAGCTTCTCTGAGGAAGAGTCCTTCCGATGGAGGCTGTGGGACAGGACCTACTTAGGGTGATTCTTGGAATAGCATTTACCTTAGCACTGCCGCTGGAAGGAAGAAAAGGTGGGACCTGGAGCTCTTCGCTGAGGGACGCTAGGCTCTGCAGAAGATGATTTTGAGCTCCTGGGCCTCTGAGGAGAACATCACACAGCGCCCTCATGCCGTGATGCCGGGGCTTCCATCGTTGAGACAGGGCAGCTTCTCTGTAGCTTGCTGTGCTTCCATCTTGGGCACCTATTTGCTTGCCTCCTTCGCTAACACTTTTCTGCAGATTCCAAACCAGTCCTTCCTCTTCGCTCTGGATACTTTGACTCAGGAAAATTCCTCTTCTGCTGGGTGTGGCGGCCCACATCTGTAATACTAGCATTCTGGGAGGCTGAGGCAGAAACATCACAAGTTTGAACCCAGCTGGAGGCAGCTTAGTGACTTACTGAGACACTGCCTCAAAGCAAACAAACAAACAAACACAAAGATAAGAAAAAAAGACTGTGGGCATAGTTCAGTGCAACACCCCTGGGCTCCATCCACAGACAAAACACAACAAAAACCTCCTGTTCCTTACAGCCTGTTTGATCTCTGCCACATCTTGGTAGATGTCGCTGACTCAAAAAGTAAGCTGTAAGTCGCTGGCAGTGATTACGAGAGGGATACCCCACTCCCTGAGGGATGGCTGTCATCCAGTTTGTACATGCGTATAGAAAGTGCTTACTGCAAACTCCACACATGGACCAATAAAACACATCACTAATTAATAAGAAGTACTTAGCAGAATTTCCCCCACTGCCTCTCAAGGGTCTTGTCTTCCAACTACTCACAGACATCCAGCTTTGAACGAGGAAGCTTGTCTGTGTGTCTCATGGAGCAGCCATGACAAAGTAGCAAAGCCTGGGTTACTTAAACTACAGGAATCTGCTGCCTCTCGGTCCTCCTGGGTCAAGGTACACCCAGGGTCCCTGTTTTCTGAGTCTGTCCTTGGCGTCTCGGTGGCCCTGTGTCTCTTCCTCCCCCTCTGCGTCTGTACACAGATTTGCTCTCGTGCCTCTTTTCTTCCGGGCTCCTGGGGACTAGAGGACTTTGCATATGCAAGCAAGTGTTCCCCACTCAGCTGCCCCCACCCCCACAATGCCCCCTGTCATGAAACAGGAGCCATACCGCATTGGAATGCGCTCTCCTGGCTTCATTTTAACTTGCGTACCCCTTTCATGACCCTGCCTCCGAATACTGTTACGTTCTGAGGTATTTGGTGCTAGGACTTTGACACACCTAGAAGTCTGGGGAGACCACAGTGGGTTCCGTAACGTAGGGTAACATTGACCCGAACTGCCCCGGAAGAAATGGGCAGTACAGGCATGTGTGCGTGGAAGGCAGCACCAGCCAGGAGGGTGGGAAGGAAGGTGTCTGAGAAGGCCCAGGGTGAGCAGGGACAAACTCAACGGCAAAGAAACAGCAGTCAGGGCCCACCACGCACAGCTGGTTCTGTGTCCAGTCCAGTCTGAGCGTCGCCCGCCGAGGGAGCTCTTCTGTCCCTCGTGTGACTGGGTCAGGGGTGCATCACAGATAACGCAGGGTGGTAGGGGGGCTGTGCTGCACAGTTTTAAATCTGCTCCTGGTGATTATTGCCCCATCCAGGAGCAAACCAAATTTGAAATTCATGAATGCTAATAGTTCTATTTGGATGGGTACAGTGTTGTCCCAGCCGAGGGCATTCTGGTCTCCTGGGGGACTGGGAAAGTTGAAATAGGAGTCTGAAGCTTTATCTCAGGGTCTGTCTAGAACCGTCCTGAGTTTAGGTAGCTCTGTGAAATGAGGCCATACACAGAAATGGGAAACTCAGGTTTCTTTGCTTTTGGTCGGGATGATACAAATCAGGGCACCCACATTGTTATCACGGCCAGTCTGAGGCTCTGATTGGCAATTGTAGACATCTGAAAAAAACAGAAAATGAGCGATTAATCAGCGCTGCTGGCTTAGGCTGCCTTTCGGAGCTGGGGGACTGGAGAGGAAAACAGCGGAAGTTCTGTGCGCCAGCCGATCTGCAGTCGCTGAGTGAACCCAGGCCCTCGCCCACAGACGGCTTCGGGCTCTGACTTGCCACTAGCTCCATTAAAGAAGCTCATCTTTAGACCCCTATTAATGAAAAAAATATTCTGACAAGAACTTTGGAACCAAAACCTCCATCTAATCTTTATTGCAGTTTTGAGCGCAGGCCAGTAAAGAGAAAGACACGATTTTTTTTTTTTTTTTTTTTTTGGGTTTGTCTCCGGTACCAGGAACCGAACTCACGACCTTGCGCTTGCCAGAGCAGGCGCTTTTGCCGCTGAGCTAAATCCCCAGCCCCGAGAAAGACACGATTAATCACCTGATTTCAGTCCAATATCCTGATGTTTTTATTTGGCTGATGGTACTTAACCAAAAACCAGTGCTGTGATTACCCACCTTCACGGAGCAAAGTAAATCTGTGCGGATCTGGTGCTCTTTCTTGGAGTCAGTCTCAGGCAGGAGCTGTTGCTGGCTTGGACTTTTTTTTTTTAGTAAGATCTTACAAATTAGGGACTTCTCAGTTTTTGCTTTCCTCTAGAAAGCCATTTGAATAGTAACTTTTTTTTTTAAAGTCCATATGGTTTTTTGGACTTCTCAAACGTGTCCCTAACT